CCGCCTCCCTCCCCACCCTGCATTCTCTTCTCGCTTTTCCTCCGGCTGGGATGGACTAGAAGGAACCCCGTCCCAGGCCAGCCGAAGTCAGAGAAAGCGGGCCCGGGCTGCTTCCGAAAGCATGGAGTTGAAGCAATCCATCTCAGCCAGTTTGGAAGCTGAGAAATCGCTGAGGAGCTACGGGGCGGTGAAGGAGACGGAGTGGAAAACCGAGGGTCTCGGCAAAAGTAAGTGGAACGTCCTTGCTTGTTCCTCCACCCCCCGCCCTTCCAACCAAATAAAATCAGAGATTCGTGCATGCAGGGAAGAAGGATTCTGCTGGTCAGATTTTTGCATTAGCACTTTAAAAGCAAAGAGATTCTGACATTCACAACCCATCGCTCTTCCTCCCTCTACTCTAGTCTTGTCCTGTTGGTTTCCTAGGAACAAAGGGGGGGGGGGTGTTGTCCCTGTCTTCCTGCATGGCCCAGAAATTTTTGATTCACACATTTGTTCTTGGCACGGGTTGGAGATATGCCTCCTAGCACCCCTAAGGAGAAGGGGGATTAGTCACAGAGGGGTGATTCAGGTGATTGGCAACCATCACGGGTTGGTCTTTGTTTTCCTCTATCCCCCCCCCCCCCCCCCGGTACTTGGAAGTCCACTTACTGTGGTCTTGCGAAAATCAAACCAGAAGAAATCTGGGGAAGGTTTTGTTCTCTGTGATCCCAGCATCTCATAAGAGGCAAGGGATCTACACCCAGCAGGATCATATTTTGTTTTGATAAATAGGAGGAGAAGTGAAAGGTGGTGGAGAAGAAAGATCTAATGTGCTCTTCCTTATCAGGGAAGGTGCTGGAGGGTGGGGAAAAAACCAGTCCTGTATTTTACAGGACCCTGGGCTGATCTTGGAAGCTAAGATGGATTAGCCTTGGTTTGTACGTGGAGGGGGGATTGCCTGGGAGTTCCAGGGATGTAGTTGGACTTGGAAGTCAAAAAACATCTGGGAAGAAGGCCAGGGCAGTTTACTTCCATAAAACCACCAAGAAAAGTGCATGGTCGCAGTTAACAGAAGTCAAGCTTACCTTGAGGACGTTTTTTTGTTTCCAGACGTGCTGAATCAAAACAGCCTGTGAATACCAAAACTGATCCTTTCTCCTCCTCCCAAGAGTACAGCTCTTAATGTCTTAAACTCCTGAAATGGAAAGGAGGGATCTGAGCAAATGTTTGTTTGAGTCAAAAGTTCATTGCTTGGGACGACGAAGGTTGGCATGCCGTATCCCTCTGCCATTTTCATTGTTCAAACAGCTGCCAGTCATATGGCCACTCTGAAGATGGGGGCTGCTGCTGGGAAAACAAAAAACAAAACTGGGCTAGCAAAAGTTGTGGATAGCATAGATTTGTAGGGAGGCAGTTTAGATGTCATTCCCCCTTCTCTAGGGGTAAGGCAGTGCGTGCATCCTTTAACGCTGAGCTTGACTGATCTCTCCAAAATGCTAAGTGGGTATGGATGAGATTTACTCCAGGTTGATAATGATGGGAAGACAAGGTTCAAACTATAAGCCTACCTGGGAGTAAGTTCCATTAAACTGAATGGACTGCTCTGTACATCATGCTAAGCCATAAGCCATAACTCATAAACCATACTAGCTGGACTCATACAATATATTTTGCCCTATGGCTTGTTTGATTCTGGATTCATGCTTTGCCTTGAACTTAATCTCAGATTATAATCCTATACTAATTTATGTGGAAGGAAGTTCTGTCGGGCCAAGCCAAAATGTGGCTTGCATATTGTGCTGTGGTTTGTAAACCATGGTTTGTGGCAAAGCATAATGCCCAAATTGTCTTTTATTCAATAAACTCTAAGTAAACAAACAATGGCATTGCCTAACATTTAGACTCATCCAGTGGGACGGTTTTCTGAGCACATGTCTATACAATTGCCTTGTAAAGCAATGTGGAAGTAGGAAAGTACCTTAGGACCGACCATGTAGAAGGCCATCAACTCAGCATCTCCACTATCAGAACTAGAGGGCCCCTTGATTCCAGTTGACAGGGACATGTGTGAAAGCACCTACTCTCTTGTACGCTTCCCCAAGGGTTTGGCTAGCTACTGTGTGAACAAGTCAATTCAATTCAGTTCCATGTTCATTTTGATCAAAGACCAGTATACATCAAAACAATCAAGACACTGTTGAAAAGTAGAAGACGAAGGGTAGATATGAAACACACGCTAAAAGGGTAGCATGGCATATTATTACCACTACTGTTCCCAGTATAAACTGTATCTCTGAAGCCAAAAAACACAGTGTTATTTGTCTTAAGTAGTTGACGTTAGTGACATGACGCTAAGATTCTCAGACAAAAATAGGCAGAGAGTAAAATCTCTCTATGTAGATACCTCCTCAGAGTGATTCAAGGGTTAGCTATGGTTGTGTTATATTAAGGAACATGGAGCTAGTCAACTTGGATCTTATTCTGCTGGCAACATAACAGAATTTGGTAACACGCAGGGAGGAATAATCCATTTGATCGGAGTTATGTGAACAGGGTGATGGAATAGATGGTTTGACCAAACAGGATATTTTTTTATATTGATGTACCCAAAGATAAGCAGCTTAGGGATCTCCAGCCATTTTGGATGTCAGTTCTCACCAGGTCGAACCCAGCAGGACGAGTGTCAAGGGACCATTAGCCTTCTACTCCAGAATATCTGGAAGAACCAGCTAGTGTATTGTCCTTTTACAGTTGGTGCTTTATTTCATAAAGTTTCCATAATATATCCTACCAATGCAAAACTGTTTTTTATTTATTGGTCATTTTTAGGGGTTAACGTGCCCATATCCCTACAAAGTTGAGTAAGGTGTTCACATATTCCTGAAATTTGATTTTAACTGGCTAGAGCATGAACAGAACCAAGGATTTCCTTCCTTACTACAGGAGTTAATTTAGTAATTCTAAGCAGATTATATCATTACTCATTCCAGCTCTTCAGAATGGTTAGTAGATGCATTTGACACATCTTTAAGTACTTAAATGAATTGTTCTAGATATCCGACTGGCCCATCAGTTTGTGTTCTTCTATTCCTTTCCCCTAGTGCCTGTGTATGTGTGTGCACATAGACGTACAGACACACATATACCTACATGTAAATATATGTATTTGTCATTGTTAAAGACTGAGGATAGATAACACTTTGTGATTCAGAGTTGACAACAGCTTGTGCCATAAAATCTAGTTTAATCTTTAAAGAAAGCCGCAAAGCAAGACAGAAGACTTGAATCTTTAACAATCATGCAGAAGGTAGAACTTGATATTCAAGGCTAGATGACTTGTCTGATTTTGGCTTAATGTGTTATCTGCCAAACCACAGTTAAGGAAATGGTGGGTTGGTGCAAATGTCCTTTCTATGTTGTTTTAGTAACATGGGAGTAGCGTAACTACCCCCAAAATGATTTTTCTCAATCTTCTATCAGGAGTGTGTGAGTGGGTCAAAAAAGTCAACCATGGGAGACACCCCTGTTCCTACATCTACCAGCCTCGTTAGCGGGAAATCCTGGTCTTTGGGTTTTTGCAATCTGTGTAATTTTTCTTGCTCCATACCTACCCATAGACCTGATCTTGAACGTATGTTCTCCAAGGTGACTGCTCTTGATTTATATACAATTCCATCTCAAGGAAGCCTGCTTTTTCCAAAATTACCCAGTTTTCAACCAGTAAGGATTTGGAAATGAGGAATGCCATTCTTCCAAGGACTTGCAGGATCCTACACTGGGACAGATTGAAAATGGGGGAGCCATTGAAGTCTTTTCTCCCTCCCTTGACATTTAGCTAATGGATGGGCCAACTGCACCGTGGAGTCACAGCACAAGTGGTAATAGCTCCATCTTCACGGGTTTGCTGGGTGTATTGCTCTTTTCTCATGCTCCTGGTGAGGGAAATCACCTTTTTAACATTAGATGCCGGAATAACATGAACGTGGCCAGCCATTCTTGAATATTCTTGGGAACTGGTGATTTAGACAAGCTCAAGCAGCTGCTGCCTGAATAATGGATCACTCCATTTTAAGGTTTTGTGTGTGTGTGTGTGTGTGTGTGTGTGTGTTTTAACCCTGTTTCAAAAGAGCCATCAGTTTTAATGTGGTCTGAATGATTGCCTGGAGTGGTGGTGGGAGGAGACGTGATCATTTATTATTCCATTCGATTGATTATACCAGTGCCTGGAATCTGCTTAGTCCTTCCATCTTTGACAAAGATGTCTGGAGTCTCTTTACAGCAGTTGTCTTTAATGACAAGCCAGTTGTTAATCTTTATTTTTTTTAAAAGCCTTAAGATAGCTTTGGAGCCCGTGGATCTGCCTCAGTGTTTTGGAATTTTGACACACAGAATAAAAAAGTTGGACAGGATCTTAGAGGTCATTGTCAGCCTTCCCAGGTAGACCAGACAGGAAACACAACCAGACTTTACTTTATTGTAAGGCTACATTAACAGAATCTTGCAAGTCTGAAAGTACAATTCTCCTCCTGTCTCCTTTACAGCCTGAGAAACTAGGGAGGGTCTCTTCTGAGCCTCTTGTCCTGTCCACTATACAGCTGTGGGCTATGCAGTCTCTTATCTGTCCATTCCCTTGGCAGCATCTCCTGGCCCCGTCTCCCAAGGTCTTTCCCACAAACCATTACAGTCATCGAGTCTAGCCCATACTAAGGGCAGGATCTCCAACACAGGACCAGTAGTAGTGTTTCCAGTTGGCTGCTCAGATTCTTCTTAGGCACCTCCAGCAAAGGAGAGGTGACCATCAAGAACCGTGGTGTAACAGTTAATGGTGTGATGGAATGCAGTAGAGAGCCAGGTTCTCAGGAAGGAGGGAGCGCATTCCAGGGGGAGATAAGAGGTGACCTAGTCCAGAGAAGGAGCATGGGAAGAAGAAGAGACTTAATATAGTCACTCCCTAGATTCTCCCAGAGTATATCTATTAGGTTAGCACTAAAGAACTGAACTTGGTTGGATTGTTTCCTTGTTGTTCTTGGGCTTGGCCTGAAAAATGCTTGGGCCCAGTTTAAAGCCCACCCTCAGTCTTGGAAGCCCATTGGGGGGATTTGGGTTCAGCCATGATTTCTTAGACCAACCTGCTTTAGAGGGTGGTGGTTATGGAGATAAAATGGGAGGAAGCAGTGCTATAGGGGTGCTGCCTTGAGCTTCTGGAAGAAAGGTGGGGTATAATTTTGATGCACAGAATGAATAAAAC